CCGGGGGCCTCTGCTGAGGCTAAAAACTAGGAGAAGGAATAAGAGTAGGCTTCTGTGAGGAGTGAGCAATGGAAAGACACATTAAGTGATGAAAGGATTAGAGGGCGATTGATGATGCCGACCAATGGTGGGGAAAGGAGTGTTGATCAGGGACCCTAGAAACAGGATAAAGAAACAGAGGATATGCATCACAGGGGCCATCATTGGCCCAAAACAGGGACCCTTCTGCAAATTTGGGTGTTAGCTCCTGACTTCATTCATTCATTTATTATTTCAGAGGCATTTCCTGAGCGCCTGCTTCTTCTGAAAGGGTTCCAGAAAGGTTTCACAAAGATCTCCCTCTGAATGGAGACCTCACACCCAGTCACATCTCCATTTCCATTTCCAGTTGCTGTTGGTTGGTTTGGGGCGGAGGAAAGGGAGGAGTTAAGGGCAGAGGGGTGGTCCACCAGAGACTAGGCTCTGGCTCCTGAAGGGTACAGGGAGGGCCCCCAAAGCCCCATCCCTGCACCCGCAAACAGAGAGGCGCTGTGGTGGATGGGCAGGAGGTCCCAGTGCTGGGCTCGGCCCTGTGGGCTGGAGCCAGTCTCTAAGACGGTGGTCTGCTGCCCAGTGAGTAAACCAGGCTGAAGACTTCCCCAAGCAGTGGCAGGGTTAGTGAGGAGTCAGCTGACGCTCCCCAGCAGGGCCCTGGGTTATAGGTGATCATTGATCTCACTTGCAGTGTCCTAATCCCTTCTTGTGAGAGTTCTCACTTAACCCCCCCTAGGCCCCAGGGAAGAAAACCCTGTCTCCCTGTGTCACCGATGAGGACACTGAGGCCCAGAGAGGCCAGGTAACCATCTGGGGTCCTCCAGCTCAGTAGGGCAGAGCCCAGGCCACACGCCAAAGGCCCTGAGGAGGGCAGTCAGGGCTCCTGGGGTGTCACGCTGCACAGCCCCTCCCAGAGTCCCTTCCCCGCACTCACAGACCAGCCCTGCACCATGTCCTCACACCTCCCCACTGGACGCTCCCTGCAGCCCTCCTTTCCCTCAGCCCCAGGGGAAAAGGCGCCGGACCCCCTGTCTGGGTCTGCACTTTCTCCTGGACCCTGCAGCTCTTCTCACTTCCGCCCTAACAGGGACTTTTGTGACCAGCAACCCTCCCACCACCACCACCACCACCGTGTGGGCAAGAGAGAGGCTTGTCCTGCACAAAGTTGAGCACTTGCAGGAGCAGGGAAGGTCCAGAGGGCATCCTGTGAGGCGGGGCTGAGTGCTGGGTGAGAGGAGTAGCTGGTGAATGGGGCCTGGGGAGAGGCTTAAGAGGCTCCTGGGGTGGAAGGGGAGGTCTGGTGGCAAGACAGAGGCGGAGGTTTGGAGAGAGAGGAAGTATGTCAGCTGCCAGCAGGAGGAGTTTGAAGGACAGAGATGTTGAGAGGGGATTGGTGGGGGGTGCCACAGGCAGTGTGAAGGGAAGACCTGTCATTCCAGGGGCCAGTAGCCCACTGTCATTCCAGGGGCCAGGATGGCAGAGATACCCCAGGCCTTGGGCCTCCTCTTTGTGGTTCTGGGATTCATCTTAACCCCCCCCCCCCCACGGGGCAGGATGCAGAAGTGAGCATGACCACAGTGACCAGGGATGTTTAGACAATAGCCGTTCCTTGACCCAGATGTGACTGGTCACACTCAGAATCCTCCTCATTCATGGAGTGAACCTCCTTCCTCACAGCAGCATTGGGGTGACTGCAGGCAGTGCGGACATCAACATCAAACCTCTCCTCAGAGGGTGGACTGCCCCCACAATGGCCCAGAGCTGAAGATGGGTGGGTCTGTGTCCCAGCATGCACCCTGTGGCTCTTTGTGGGAGGTAGATGGGGTCTGGGATCTGTTAGGGATCTGTTACTTAGAGTCTACATTTTCTAAGCTGTTTGGGCTGTGTCCTCAGGTGTGACGTCTTGAGCTGTTTGTAGTGGGGTCTAGGGTGAGTGGTCTCTGTCCTGGGCATGAGGTCACTCAACTACTCGGGACACTGTATCCAGAGGTTGGGGGTCTCTTAGCCATTCGCGTGTCTGCATCCCATGATGTGTTCAAGAGGAAGGCAGGATGGACCTTATAGGACTTAGAAGTAAGCCTATGGCTTCACATTTGCTGGGATTTCTCCCGTGTCTGGCCTGGTACCGCAGACATAAGAACTTAGGATTCTTATTCTCAGGGAAAGCAACTCCTCAGTCATGTGCAACTTGTAAAATCCATAGTAATAATAGCTATAAGAATAATATCTGCTGATGTCACCCTGTGCGGAGGCCATGTGGCAAACCTATGGCCATATAGACTCATTTAATCTGCACAGCCCCCTGTGAGGTCACCAATTGCAGATGAGGAGGCCAAGGTCCAGTGAGGATGGGAGATGTCAGCATGTGAGGAGGGGAGGAACTGAGTCTCAACGTGGGCTCGTTGGTGGGTTCAAGTTTCAGCACAGCCAAGGTGGGATGAGGGGTTGACAGCGAAGGGGAAAGGGTAAGGCTTGCCCAGGACCCCGAGAACCTGGTACCTGACTCCCTGTCAGGATGCCAGTCTCTCTGTTTCTCACTCACACACCCTCTTGGGTGCTTGGGTATGCAGAGCACAACCCAAACCTCACATTTCCTGGAAGGTGAGCCCCCCACAAAGGTGGGGAGCCACTTCAGCTTCATCAGTTTGCACAAGGCCCCACCACAATGTACAGATCCCTGCCTCCACTTCCCCCATTAGAGCACTTTGGCACTGAGACCAGCAGTAGGCCAGTCAAGGACTTGAGGGAGTATGGGGGCCCGTGTGCAGCATGAGCCTCCTAAAAATGGCCCCTCTCCTTGTCTTGATGGGCAGAGAGTCCTGATGTGAGTCAAGACAGTGTGGTTGAGGCCTAGCCCATGGGCAGCTGAGCCTAGACACAGTCCCTGGGGAGGCGCTTCCTTTCCGTGGAGACAGGTACTTTGTCCAGTAGCAGGGACGGGGACCAGAGTGGTGCTACCTCAGTGGGGTACCAGAGCTACCAGAAATAGCTTCTCTGTACCTGTCCCTAGTGCTCCCTCTCCTTCCCCCACCCCGTTTTCTCTGTGCCCTCTCACACACAGGCTGGTGTGTGAACTCACTGATGCCATGAGGGCCCTTGCTCCATCTCTCCTGAGGGTAGCATCCTTGGACATCCTTGGGTTCTCCTGGGGAGCAGTGGGGGGGTGCCCTGCAGTCTACGCTATTGACCACCAGGAAAGGCAAGTTCAGCTGCAGAGGAGCTGGGCAAGGGGTTCCTTGAGGAGAACCAAGACCTCCTCCCCATACGTTGGGTGATGGGCCTCTGGCCTCTGAAAGCGGCATGGGGGCTTTTGCCAAAACCCCCCATGGTTCACTTAGAGTAAGTCAGGTCTTCGCCGTGGCCCAGATTTGGCCTTACATGATTTGGCCCCCATTACCTCTCTGACCTCATCCCCTGTGGCTGTCCCTCCTTCGTGTTGTGCCAGCCACGCCGGCCTCCTCATGTTTCCCCAGACGCACTAGGCCTAGTTCTACTCCAGCACTTGTCCACTGGCTCTTCCCGGTCTGGAATGCTTTTCTCCCAGATACTCATCTCCTCTAGTGTCCACTCCAATGTTACAGTCTTAGAAAGGCTGTCCTTGTCCACTCCTTCTTTCTAGAAATGCATACCCCTTCTGTTTCATTACTGTGATTTAATTTTATCCAAATAAATTACCAACACCTGACAATTACTTATACTTTTGTGCTCATTATCCAAGGGAATATGAGCACTATGAGAGGAAGGTTTTCGTTGCTTTGCATATGGCCCTATTCCTAACACCCCAACAGTACCTGACACATAATTTGGAAAGGGAGGGAGGGAGGGAGGAAGAACGGAAGGAAGGAAGGAAATAGAAATAGAGAGAGAATGAATGACCAAATGCAGCGTTGTGAGAGAGGCATAGCTGGACAGGCTGAGGATTGTCCTAGGTAACTAATTCAGGGCTCACAGGATGGTGCCAAATCTGTGGTCTTTCTCTGATCTGATCTACTCAGTGTCCTTGGGTTTCTGGGAGCCTGCCCCTTCCTGCTGCCCCCTCACTGATCACTGACAGTCAAGGACAAGGGCCTGGCCTCCACTATCCCTTCTGACCCTAGTCCAGAGCTCTAGCCCCCTGGGACTGTGGCTGGGTCCCCAGGCTAGCCGGCTCCCTCCAGACCTATTCCGCATTAGCAGGAAGTTGCAAGGCAGCACAGTGCCCAGCACGTAGATGTTTGTACCGCTCCCTTCCGTGTTCAGGACTCCAGCGAGCTGTGTGTGGGGTTTGCATGCTGACTTTGCCCTCCCAGCCTGGGGGACCAGCAGGACTGGTTCCTGGGCAGCGGCACGGACCCCTGTTCCCTACTCTCACCAGCCAGGGGCGCGCGGGGTGCCACAGTCTGTCCTGGACGGTACCACCAAGGGGTGCAGAGGTAGGAGCTCCGCTAGGAAGGTACCACTGTGCGGGGGCGTTGGTTTGGAAAGAATCCAATATGTTTCTAACGACGGGGAGGGTCTCCCTACAGCGCGTGGGGCATCGGGCACAGCTGCCAGCCGAGACCCGAGCCGCGCCGTCCGGGCCGGCCCCCTCCCAACCTCGGCATCTCCGGCGCATCGGAGCCCGGGCGCGCTCCGCGCCTGGGCTGCTGCGGCGTTTGCCCTTTGCGCCCGCACCCCCGGCCTCTCCGCGGTCGCACCCAGCCCGGGACGCGCAAGGGCCGAGACTGGCTCCAGGACGTCGGGGGCGGGCCCGCGCCGTGCGGGACGGGATTGGTCTCTGGGAGCCGGCACGTGGAGCCTTTCCGGGGAGCGGGGCGGGCCCGGATGCACGCCCTAGTGCCCGCCTTCCTCTAGCTGGCCCTCTTCCATTGGCCATCGGTCTGGGACTGGCAGGGAGATTGCCCAGCGGGAGCCCAGGGTGAGGGGGCGTGCGCGTGGCTTGCCACGCCGTGGCGCGTTTCTCCGAGTCGGCCAGCTTGCCGCCCGAGTGTCCCGAAGGGGCTGCGGTGCCGCGCGAGGCTGTGGCGAGGTCCCGCGCACTTGCTGGCCGGCGGCCCGAATCCGACGCTGCCAGTGCGGGACGGTGCTCTCTCCACGTGAGCTCTTTCAGCCTTGTTTACCCCAACTCAGCCTGGAGCGTGGCCCCGCAGCGCCCGCCCTCCAGAAGCGTTCAGTAAGGTCCAGGGAGCAGTCTCTGGGCTGGCTTGGTGTCTCTGCCCAGGATGTCAAGTGTGTAGGGCGCGCGGAGATGTGTCCTAGGTAGGACATCTCAGATGCTGCTTCATGACTTTTGGTGTCTCTCAGCCTTTGGGGGATTGCGAGTCCTGAGATAGTTTGTGCCCCGTGTATAAGGGGCCTGAGGTTCTTCAACGGTCTGTTCTGTGTAGCTGGGCGTGCATTTTCTCAGCTTTTGGGCACTGGTGTGCCTGGGTTTGAGATCTTGATGCAGGCACCTGCCCCGCAGGGTGTGAGGCCCCTGACCCGTTTTGATTCGGGATCCCAAATTGAGTAGTCTCTGAGCTGCTTGGGGGCGCTGGTAGAGAGAAGCTTGGGGCAAAGTATAAACTTTCTGAATCGTCCTGTCCAGGATGCAGGTGCCGTTTTCTGGGGATTTTATGTTAAGCTTCTGTGATGTCCCTGAGCTCTTGAACACCTGTCTTTCTGTGTTTAGGGTCATTGTATGATCAGCAGTGCCTGACGTTTGGCACTGTTTCTGTTTGTAGGATGTGAGGACTCTGAGCAATTTTAATCTCTTCCCCGGGGTGAGCATTTTGTTCTGTTGCGGGGTGAGGGCTCACTGTTGCCGTGTGTATGGTTTCTGCTCTGTTGGGAAATGTGAGTCAGTCGAGGGCTTTCTTGTACAGGACTTTGGGGAATCTTTTTAGGCTGTGTGTCCCGTGAGCTGTTTTTGGTGTCTCTGGGTATCTGGCCTGTGTGGGGTCTGTGTCTGAGGAGTGAAATCGCTTTACCTTTTTGGTTGTGAGGTCTCCAGGCTGAGGCTTTTGGAATGGGGCAGATAGGATTCCAAGGCATGAGGCCCCAGGTCCTGGCGTGTGTCCTGGGCAAGTCATTTGGCCCTGGAGTCTCCTGGATCATAATCCAGAAAATGGGCCAGTGCTCCTCTTGGAGTATACCTGTGCATCTTGTGCCTGGGTACTGTTTTAGGTGTTGGGGATTCCACAGAGAACAAAACTGACAAAGTCTCTGATTTCCAAGAGTTTGAACACTAAGTGTGTATATACACAGCGGATGGTGCAAGTGCTGGGTAGGGAGGAAAGGCTTGCTTAGGGGAAGGTGCTTGTGGGGAGGACGTTGTCATTTTAGTCATGTTGGTCACAGAAGTTCAGCCTGAAAAGGTGATGATGGAGGTGGGACCTGCAGGTAGTGAGGGAGCAGGCGCGGGCTTACCCAGGAAGAGCATCTGGCACATTCTGGATGTGAAGGAGTGCAGCGATGCAGATGAAGCCCTGGTCTCTGGGTTGGGCACTTAGAGTTCATTGAAGAGTCTAGTGTTGTTAGCCCTGTTTCTCCCACCCCTGTCAGGAAGGTGGGGCCACCCCAGTTTACAGATGAAGGATGTGAAGCTCCAGGAGTGGCCTGAGCCTGCTCTCCCGCTCACATGTGAAATTGCTACTCAGTCATTACTGCATCACGAGGGGAGGACACCATCCACACTGAATGTCAGCCCACCGGCTCCTATGAGGAGTCATTGCCACCATGACATTTCTACTCTTGATGGAGGGCAGGACTTTAGGAATGAGTGCAGACCTGGGGCAGAAGAGAGAGGCAGGAACAGAAACTGGAGGACAGTGAGAAGCAGCAAGGGCTTCGGAATATTGCCTGGTTTGGGCCCAGCTCATTGTAATAATTGATCCTGTTTACCCTTTCCTCTTCCCTGCCCTTTCTTGCCTTCCCTCCTCTTTGGTGCCCGAACATTTCTGTCCTAAAGGGTTCAGGTGTGGCAGAGCACTGCAAGTATACGGGTGTAGGGGCATGAGCCCAGGCACACTGTCGAGGGCATCCATGCACGGGGACAGGCTGCAGTGGGTTTCAGAGCCCAGCATGGTGAGGGGGGTGGCCCTGGAGGTTGGGTGGGGAGAGGGCTGACTGGCTCAGGGACTCCAGCTTGAGTCGGGTGTGGAGGCCAGAGGCAGAGGGTGTGGTTCAGCAGAGCATGTGATGAGGGAGGTTGTAGGGGAGGCATGGCTTCTAGACATTGCATTCATCCACTAAATAAACGTGTAAGGATCATTAGAGCCACACCTTCACTAGTGGAAAAGGGAGCTTTAAACATGGAAAGGGAGAAAAGGAGAACAAACTCTGAAGAGCTGTGCTGTAGCTCTCCCAGCAAACTTGTGGTTTTCAGTGTGTACGTGTGTGCATGTGGAAAGATGGATGGAGGTACATGTACATTTATGTGTGCTTGTATTTGAGTGTGTGTGCATATAATATTCTACAGTTTCTGGCAACAGCAACCTCCCAATAGCAATAAGCATGCCTAGCCCCCAGATGTTGGCTCCTAGATACCATTCTCTGCGAAGTGATTATTCCTGGGCGTGGGGGAGGGAGAGGATGGTGAGCCTGGCTCACCGTGTGGAGTCAGAAACCAGGGTAAATTCAAGGACCGATGGTGACCTGTCAGAAGGACGTGGAAAATAGCTTGAAGGGACCCCACTGGACAAACTGGGGGCAGTGTTATTTTTGCCCTCTTTATCAGAATAGTGACGTGAAGCACATGATCGTTAAGGCCCGATGGTTCGATACATCTATACAATGTTATAGGACTACTACAATAAACTTAGTTAATAGTCTGTCCCCTTGCTGAATTACCAATTTTTTGTGGTTTTACATTTAAGATCTCCTCTCTTAGCAACTTTCAAAATATATACTGAAGTGTATACAGTATTGCTATGTACTGCATGTTAACTGTGGACGTTAGATCCCTGGAACTAATTCACCTCATAGCTGGAAGTCGTGCCCTCTGACCGATAGGTAGGTGCCCACTTCCCCCCGACCCTGGCAACCACCTCGATTTCTGTAAGTTTGATGTTTGTACATTTCACAGATAAATGAGAGCAATCCTAAGTTTCTCTCCAACAGTAAGTTTTAAACTCTGCATAGTGCCCTCCAGTTGTATTCACGTTCCGGGAAATGCATGATTTCCTTCTATTTTATGACTGAAAAGTATGCACACACACCACTTTTCCTTCACCCAGTCATCATTCCGTGGACACTTACATTGTGCCCATGGCTAGGCTGGAGCTGCAAAGTAAATCTTAAAAATCAGTGTTTCTCCTCCAGTTTTGTTCTCCTTTTAAGAATTTTTTCCTTTCCGCATAAATTTTGAAGTCATTTTGTTTACAGACAATCCTGTTGGGTTTTTTGGGTGGAGTTGTATTCCATCTGGGACTAGTGGCGTCTTAGTTATATTGAATATCAACCTATGTATACAATATATATGTGTTTGTTTAGGTCTTTTGTTTTCTCAGCTTTTTCTAGTTTTCAGCATACAGATCCTGCATATGTTCTGGTAGGGTTTGGGGAGGCTAATGTATATGGTATGTGTGAATGGTATCTTTAAAATTTTGTTTTGTCATTGTTCATTGCTAGTATATTGAGATAGGCTTGATTTTTGTCATCAGCATCATTGCTAAATACACTTCTTCTGTGATTTTTTAAAATTTAATTTAATTTTATGTATATTTTTACATCACCCTTCCTTTTTCTACAATGTATGCTTTCTCCTTTCCGGTGTAGTCCCCTCAAAATTCCCATCACAAATTCACTGGTGCACCATCACCATAGTCCCTCGTGTAAGAACACATTCCCTCCCCTGTTTTGATTCCTCTCCCTCCCCCTCCCCTGCAGAGTGTCTCTGATTAATAGTTGCCTGTTAATTTTGTGTTTTAATTTATTATAATTATTTTTTTTCTGGTCCCTTATTTAGTTCCCCTACATTCCTCCTATAAGTGAAACCATCCGATATTTTTCTTTTTCCTTCTGGCTTATTTCACTGAGCATAATCCCTTCCAGCACCATCCATGTTGCTGCAAATGGCATGAGTTTATCTTTTTTGATTGCAGAATAGTATTCCATCGTGTATATATACCGCATGTTGATCCAGTCATCTATTTTTTTGGCATTTGGGTTATTTCCAGCTTACCTATTGTAACTGGTGCTGCAATAAATAGGGGTGCAGGTAACCTTTTGAATTAATGTTTCTGTGTCCTTTGGGTAGATTTCTAGGAGTGGAATTGCTGGGTCATATGGTAGCTCCATTTTTAGTAGTTTGAGGACCCATTTTTAAAATAAATTTCATGGAGTTTTCTATGTAGGTTGTCATGTCACCTGGGAGTTTCTTCCCAATCTGTAAGCCGTCTCTTTTCTTTCTTGCTTTACTGCAGTGGCCAGGACTCGCTGTACAATACTGAATAATAGCAAGGGTAAGAGTGGATGTCCTGGCCTGGTCTGGCTCTTAGGGGGAAAGAATTTAGTCTTCCAACATTATGTCGGTAGGAGGTGTGGGTATTTTTGTAGATACTCTACATCAGGTTCAGAAAGCCTCCTTCTACCCCACTTACTGAATGTTTTTATTATGAAAAGATGCTGAATTTATTATCACGTGGATTCTTTGGGTATATTAATATGGTATATTTGTTGATCGATTTTTGAATATGAAACCAGCCTTGCATTTGTAGATGAGACCCCACTTGGTCATGGACTGCTCTTTTTTTATATTATTGAATTTGATTTGCTAATACTGTTGTTATCTGATTTGGGAATCTCGGCAATGCTAATTGGATAAAAGGATTGGAGGTGTGTTCCATTTGTCCTGTTACCTTAAAGAGATTGTTAAGAATTGCTAGGATTACTTATCACATGTTGGGTAGGTTTTTTTCAAGGAAACCATCTAGGCCTGCAGGTTTCATTTTTGAAAGTTATCAGCTACAGGTCCTCCCTGGTGGCGCAAGGGGTTAAGATGCAACCTTTGAAGCTGTCCGCAGCCGCTGCAGCACGAGTTCCATCCCTGGCCAGGGAGCTACCCACATGGCACAGCAGACCTCTCCTGACTCACCCGCTGCTCCCCTCAGCAGTGTATTTCAGTCGATCCACCTGTTCTGTTTCCCACTCTGTCTCTGAGGAATCCTCTCACTCCCCCCCCCCCCGCCCCCCCCACCTCTGGCCTGTACCCCAGTTCTTGTATGCATAAATAAATAAATCTTTAAAAAAAAAGGAAGTTATCAGCTATAGATTCACTTCCTTCATAGGTGCACCTCTGTTTAGTGTATGTGTTTAATGTGGGGTGAGTTTTGATAGTTATGTCTCTCATGCAGTCCTATCTCATCTGAATTGACAAATGCATAGAGTTATTTGTGGAATCCTTTTAATTTCTGTGGAGTCTGTTTCATTCCTGATAATGGTTAATTGTGTTTTCACTTATCTTTCATTTTTCATCAGTCTACATAGAATTTAATGGATTTTATTGACGTATTCAGTAACCACTTTTTGTTTTTATTTGATCAGCTCCATCCATCTAGATAGCAGTTAATGGATTTTATTGCGTTTTCAGTAACCACCTTTTTTTTATTTGATCACCCTCCATCCTTTCTTTCACATTCCTTTTCTAATCCTCCCCCCCCCCCCCACACACACACACATTCTGTTTGCATTGAGTTTGTTTTGTTTTTCGAGTTTCTTATGGTGGAAACTTACATTCTAGATTTGGGTCCTCTTGTCTTTTCTAATATAAGCATTTCATGCTATAAATTTGCCACAAATCACTTCTCTAGTTCATCCTGCAAACTGATATGTTGTATTTCCATTTTCGTTCAGTCTAGTCTTTTCACCCATGGAGTACTTAGTGGTATGTGGTCTATCTTCCATGTGTTTGGAGAGTTTCTTGTTAGCGTCTTACTGCTGGTTGTTCTGTTTAGATCAGAGAACACTCTTTGTATGATTTCATCTACCTTGCATTTGGTAAGATTTGTTTTATGAAGAGCCAGGATATAGTCTGTTTTGGGTGAAATCTGCAAGTGCACTTGAAAAAGAGTGTGTGTTCTGCTGTAGGTAGGTGGACCTTTCTATCCATGACAGCTACATCCAGTTAGTTCATGGGGTCGTTCAGTTCATCTACATACTTGTGATATTTTTCAGTAAGTTTTGAGCATATTATTCAGAGTTTGTTGAAATCTCCAGCTACAATTGCAGGTTTATTTATCCTTTCAGTTCTGCCTGCGTGGTTGTGTATTTTGCAGTTGTGTTGAGTACTGTGCAGAAAAGTGTTGACGTGTCAGGCCTGAGATTCCTTATGAAGGCCGAGCTTGCCTTGCATGTGGGGACTTGGAGTTTCTGGGGTTTCCCCCACTCTGTCTACCTGAGAAGCATGGTTTACTCTCTTCCTAAACTGTTCAGAGAATATGTTTACAACAAAGATCTAATTTCCTTCTGGGAATCTGCAATCTTGGTCCAGAGCATGCCTGTGACCAGCCTCAGTAAGATGCTTGGGAACTGTTGCTCATGAGCTTCCCTGGTAGACAACATGCCTGGCGGGACAGATTGGGTGACTCGTGGGAAAGGACTCTGCGAAGCTTGTGCTGGTTTCTCCAGCACCTTTGCGCAGGCCTCCTTTCCCCCTGGCTAGGTTTGCTTTGTATGCTTTTGCTGTAGTAAATCTTAGCTATGAAGGTGATTCTACGCTGAGTCCATTGAGTCCTCTTAGGGGCTCATCAAAGCAAGGATGGTCTTAGGAAACCCAAAACAATGTTGGCAGCCATGGGGATTTGATCAGGAAACCCTGACTCGCTAAGACAGGGGGAGAGCCTTGTTTGAGTGAAGGAAGAATGGAGGGGTAGAATGAAGACTCTCGCAGCTCTGTGAACGTGGCATTACCCGTGATCCAAAGTGTGGTATCCAAAGAGCTAAAGGTTACTTATGAAATTTAAAACCAGTAGATGGAACTCCACTGTGCCCCTGGGCTGTTTTTGCCATGCAGGAGAATGAGGGGATGAAAAATGCAATTGCAGTCACCCAATCTGTCCCTCCAGACATGTTGTCTACCAGGGAAGCTCATGAGCAACAGTTCCCAAGCATCTTACTGAGGCTGGTCACAGGCATGCTCTGGACCAAGATTGCAGATTCCCAGAAGGAAATTAGATCTTTGTTGTAAACATATTCTCTGAACAGTTTAGGAAGAGAGTAAACCATGCTTCTCAGGCAGACAGCTCAGGACTTTGGCTATTGAGCTTTCATTCAGGCAGGAGGGAACAGGACTCCACTATGCCCCCACGGTGACCTTGGGTTGGTCAGGAATGTCAGAAGTTTAATTTACTCTCTCCTCCAAGTGGAGGGAAAAATGAAATCAATTCACTGGGCTGGAGCTGAGATTTAGATACACTTGAGGCCTAGAAAGGGAAACACCTCCTCCTTCCTTCACCTTGGCTGCTGTTGCTGCTGCCCCTCCCGGCACCCCAGCCGGGATGTCCCCAGGCTGCTGGAATGGCCGGCCCGCAAAGACCTGCAGAGGCCAACTCACTGCTGCCTGTTGGAATAAACTTTCTGTGGAGGGTGGAGGAAGGATTTTCTAAGTTGGCTTTGCAGAGTGTTGCCATTGCATCTGGACTTGTGAGGAAATTGTTAAGGTGTGAGGCGTGGGACTCTCCGATGCCACTGTGCCCAGCAAGGGGTCTGTCTTTTCCAGCTCACTCACTGGGCACAGGAAGAGGAACAAGGGACAGTAGGTTACGTGAACCCCTTCTGAAAACTTATGTCGATTTAGGATCTTTCCTGGCCAGCTCCCAAACATGATATATCTTTGTAGATAAATTATAGGACCTGTTTTGTTTTTTTTTAATGAAAATTCTCTAGCTCCTCTTGCAAGCAACCCTTCCATACACAAGGTGTGAATGAAATGAGGGATATTCAAGGAAATGTAAAGTTTTCTTTCAGAATTGTACACACTGGTTTTCTTACAGTGGAACCAACACGACACCCGACACCTGGGGAGAGGCGGAGGGTGTGGACAGAAAGTGGACATGATGGATCTCTCTGTCCAAGCTGTGGAAACTTTTCTTCCCAGTGCAGCCTTTCCAAGCTGCCATATGCTGTTGGAGAGCAAAGGGATGCAGAGCCTCAGTCCCGCTTGCCAGGGCTCTGACTGGGGACACAGGGGTGCCCAACTCCTGGGTCTGGCATGCAGGACACCTGGAGATGTCATCCATGCCCCTTCGGGGGATGAACCAGCATTTTGGACAAACTGTTTGGAACTGACCGCCTTGATGCTGCCCTACTGAAACCCAGGGCTCAAATGAGTGATTGGAACTGGACAGGGAGTCCTAGAGTGGAAGGTTCCCCGGCGGGAGGCAACTGTACGGCAACTGTACGACTGCTGTATGTCCAGCCCAGGGCGCCCAAGCGGTTGTGAGCTGTTTCTGGGGTAGCACGGGTGCCCTCAGGATTGCACTTCCTGTGTGCACCCTGACTGTGCCGACACTGCCCCGCTGGCTTCCGGCCAGCTTTCCGGTCATCTCCCACTCCTGAGCACATAGTACTTTGGGCCAGCCCAAAAGGTTCATATGCAAAATGAAATAGTAAGGTACGTGGCTTTCTAAGTTATCCCACGTGGCTTAAGAGATTTAATTTTCCCTGGCAAAATCCTGTGCCCGTGCTGGGACATAACTGAGATCAGTACTGCAGGCTCACTTCCCCAAGCTGTTTGGGTCCAAAACCAGAGGCCTGCAGCATTCTCCTCCCACTGTCCCTGGCCCCACCATGTACAATGACATCCATGTCTCATCATTGTGTCTCTGGGTTCAGCCATTCACAGTTGACTTCCATTCCACAAGTGTGGTCTGGTCTCTCACCCTGGGTCAGGTCCTCTGCTCTGCCCTGAGGACACCACGATGAACTGGGTGTGTTTCCAACTTTTCAAGAAGGAATTCAGAGTCCAGTGAGGGAGCCAGACATGGAACCAAAATGGCAATGGGTACAGCTGTTTTCCTTCAGCGACTCAGGGCTGTCCCACTGAGGATACCTGCGCTTAATTCTTCCCATCCATTATCAGCATGCCTCAAGGAGATGGTCTGGTTAGCAGTTTGATCCCCTCGTTCTGTTTCCTGCAGGCACCTACAGATGTCAACTGATACTGGCGTGCAGTGTCAGACTCAAAGCCAGGAACCGAATAGCCTTCAGTGATGTGTTTTCCAAGACGGTCAAGGATTCTTGGTAAGTTTCCCCACAAAGCTACAAAGGAGCTCCCTTTAATTTACTGCGGGCTTCCGTTTAAGGAAAATGCCCTTTACCTAAGTCTCTGCAAACAAAGGTATGCCTTGCCACAGTCCTCTCCTCCCCTTCCTTCCCCCACCCCCCCGCCAAACGCCAGTAACCCCATCCCCTCATTTCAACAACCCAAATTGCCTTCTGGTATGTCCTACGCCACCCATGCGGTTAGAATGTGGCTAGAAGGTTCTCAGAGCATTGTTTCCCCAAAGTATCCTGATTCCCATTCTTTCTAGCCTCTATCAAAACGATTTTTGAAGAAATCAAATTTCTCTTCCCTGTGCAGTTCCCTGCAATAAGATCAATTTGTGTTACCTGGTCCTGGGTTCTGACTTACGTGGACAACTTGTCTGGGAACTAAAGGCGTAGGGGGAGTTGTCTTACTTTCCTTGCTGCCAGGCCTCTCTCTCTGTTGCCAGGGTCCAGAAATGAGGGAGTTTGGTGCCTTGTCTGATCCACAAGCCCAAGGCCTTCCAGCTAGGAGACTGACATGCTGTGTGCTACCTAAGGCGGCTCTCGGATCTCCATTTCCACAAAGTGGCCTGATTCCCATCCTTTCAACCCTCTGTCCAAAAGATTCTGAATCATCAAATTTCTGTTTACTGAGCAGTTCCCCGCCCAGTAAACAGTCAATCATTGTGATATGGTAGCTGCCATTCTAAATATTTTGCAGTGACCATTGGATCTGACCCTTGGGGTCATGTAGATACGCAACACAGTGAGCTTTGCACGATGCCTGCAGACCTCTGGCTCCGCCTGTTACTGCTGGGTGACACTGAGCAGGTTGCTTAACATCCCTGTGCTTCACTTCCCCACTAGTAAACTAGAAACACTACTTCGTGGCTATTTTAGCCACTTGACGGGCCGTTTAGAACACTGACTATATTGAGACGAGAAATGTCATCAGGGCACAGCTGGCATATGGGGAGTTGCCCATCGTTCTAGTGGTTCTTGCTGCTCCCACTTTCCCTGGAGCACTCCCTGAGAGAGAGGCAGTGTCAAGGCTACATTTGACTCTCTGATGGACTTTGCACTATCACTTCTGGTCTTCAGGGACTCAAGAACTGAGTCTGTGGCATGGGGGAGGGTAACGTTTATTAGCATAACGGGTATTCTGCTCTCCTTCTAAGGCCATGGTGAAACTAAATGCTGAGCTGGGGATTCATCATGTGCTCATGTGGAGAATTTGAATGGAAGCGTCTCTGTGTAGCTAGAGCTCTAGTGACCTCTATACATGGTTTGTATAACACTGGAGAGGTAAGTGGTTACTCATTACCTGCTTTTTCACATAGTCCTGATTCTTTCCACTTGGCACATTTCTTTGTTATCCTTGGGAACTGCTGCGTGTAGAATAAAATAGGTAACACATTGTAGTAATTCCTGGCCTTGGTGTATCTCTCCCATTCTGTGTTTGTTATGGTTATGTGTTTATTTGCTTAGCGTCTGGCTGCTTTATTTTAATGGAGTCTATTCTCTTGTCCCCCTTACCTCTTGCCCCTTTACTGTGTTAATCTTCTGATTTTACTTCCCAGGGTGCAGACTTGGCTGTACCCACCTCGCCCTGGGGTGACTGCTTTTGCCAGGACTCTCTTTGGCTTTCTCTTTCCCTGACCATGCCGGGGCTGTTTAGCTCCGCTCCGTGGGTGATGTTTCCATTGTTTTCAGTAATGTGCTGGGCATACGTTGCTACATGATCTAAACCAGTGAGCTTCCTCCCCCTTTGAAGGGGTTGCTGTTGGGGTCAGTGTTGGCGATTTGTTCTGACCCCAGGTAGTTTCCCCCCAACCCGGTTGGTGCTCTCTGTGGTTGTCTCGGGTAATCCGCCAGCCTACAGGTTTGTCTCTATGTCCAGTGAGCCCAGCAGTGTCCTACCATTTGTCTTTCCCCTTAACCTCATTATTTCTGTAGGGCCCCTAGGCTTCACCTTTTCAACACTCCATGCAGATGATACAGTTCCTCTGGGTGGAGGATTGCAGTTGCCTGCTTCCAACCTCTGAGCCACAGCCCAGAGTTGGGGTGTGGGGACAGTCATTTCTCTTTCTCTTTTATGGTGTTATAACAAGTGATGGTCCTTTTTTTAAAATTGAGATATCGGGCCTCCCCTGGTGGCGCAGCGGTTGAGCGCTGGCTTGCAAAGCTGCTGCAGCCTCTGCAGCGCCAGTTCGCTCCCCGGCCGCCGGGTGAGGGTCCCACGTGGCTCACAGACCTCTCCTGCCGCCCACTGCTCCCCTCAGCAGTGTACTTCATCAGTCTGCCTGCTCTGCTCTCCCCTCTGGCTCTGGTGAATTCTCTCACCCTCCCGTGCTTCTGACTGTACCCAGTGCTTGACTGTACCCAGTGCTTGTATAAATAAATAAATAAATATTAAAAAAAAAAACAAAAACAAAGGCAACAAGGGAATTTTAAATAAATAAAGGGAATTTTAAATAAATAATAAATAAATAAATAAATAAATAAAATTGTGATATCCTTTTCTCGTAACATTGTGTTATTTGGAGGTGTACATATAATGATTTGATATTTTATGTATGTTGTGAAATGACCACCAAAGTAAGTCTAGTTAATATCCATCACCATCCATAGTTACAGGTTTTTCTCTTGAGAGAAGAACTTTTAAGATTCACTCTGTTAGCACCTTTCAAATGCACAATATGGTATAGTTAACTGTAGTCACCATGCTGTATATTATATCCACAGGACTTACTTATTTTATAACTGGAATTTTGTACCTTTTGACCACCTTCACCCCATTCACTCACCCTTCTCCCTCCAGATGCCTCCCCCGCCTCCTCCCCAAACAACTGTCTGTCTCTTGCTCTATGAGTTCATTTCATTCTTTTGTTCTTAGATTCCACACATAAGTGAGATTACTCATTTGTGTTTCTCTGACCTTTCAACATAACATGCCCTGGAGATTCAACCATGTTGTTGCAAATGGCGAGCTTTCTTCCCTTTTCGAGGCCATGTGTGCATGTGTGTCTGTTTGTGTACTCGGTGCTGTTATAATCCCAGAAGACACAGTATCAAACATTATCGTTCAGAATGTTGAACTCCCCAAACATCACAATTCCTAAAGTCTGAAATCCTAAGATCACAATCCTGAAAGATCAGCGTACACATGCTGTGTGGGTTCTTATGAGCTGGCCATTCATGGGCAACTGTGTTATCTGCACATCACAGCAGAGCATTCCTTGACTACCTACAGGCAATAGCCCGCATAACGAGGCAGGCCCGGGGACACCTGGGCCACTGTTGACCTGATTACGTGACTAACTCCATGGTGGTCTCGGGATAACCCTGCCTGTGATAACATCAAATAAATGCTGAAGCAAATGTCTCTTGATGTGTGGTCACAATGTCCCCTTCTCTGTTCCTCGTAAACCTTTGTCCCCCTTCCTCCCCCACCTTATTCCTCATACTGTTGTCACATGACCAGCTTTTACTAGCCTGTATGCTTTCAATAAATGGCACACGAACTTCTGCTCAAGTAGCAGAGTTTTCATCGAGGTTCCCACCCCAGAGCAGCAACAAAGTTCCTGTCGCAGCAACGCTGCTCTTGTACTTGGAGGTAATTCAATTCAAGTGAGGTCACTGGGGTGGACTGTAGTCTAGTATGACTGGGATCCTCATAGGAGGGGATTAGACACAGACATACAGAGATGCTGTGAAGACACAGGGACAAGATGACCATCTGTAAGCCCAGGAGCAAATCCTCAATAAAAGCCACCCCTGTCAACACTTGGATCTTAACCTTCCCTTCTCAATTTGTTTCCCTCCCGGTCTGGGAATTTTTGTGTGTTGTGACTAATGCCTTCCATAGATAAGATTATGCCAGGCTGCATTCAGGGCTGGTAGAGGACATAGTCATTTGTCCTGATACCTCACCTTCGGTTTCCAGGCTGCACCATGGCAAGTGATTTTGACAGCACTCGCCCCTTGTCATACGTTCAAACACTTGCTTCTCTTGGAACTTATTTACAATATATTAATGGAAACTACCAGCCGAATATTTGTGTGGTGAAAAGTAAGTAAAGGCTTCTCTCCAACCATATTAGTACAAAATGACTGGTCTCAAGAAATTGTCCTTGTTTATGACAGTTGTCCATGTTCTAATATGGTAGGAGTAGCAATAGTGAGTAATTTTTCTTCTCTGTTATCAAATCTGCGCTCCTCAGCTAGAATGAGACAAGAACAGTTCAAAAATGTATTCCTCATAGAAATGCTTGGAAGTAGTCCAGCTCCTGTGGGCTATCTCCATGCAGTTGCCCATAATACATCCCTGTAGTACACCTTTTCATATGTTACATTTTCACTTTAGTTAGTATTTTTTTTGGAGTTCTGCATTTAGGAATGACAAAATTTCTCCTGATATGTGCTTTTGTGTGAGGTGGCCTATGAGGGATTCTGTCATGTTTCTCTAATCCCTGTTTAAAATGTAAATATATGTCCTCGAATGAAGTTTTAAATTATTTTTTCCAGAATTGTGTATTTAGGATTTTGATGTTTTGGCACTACACTTTGGGGGCTTTTCGACTTCAGGAATTATGATCTCTTGGGATTTCAGCATTGTAGACGATGGTGTTCAGGATTGTGTCTGGGATTATGACCCAACCCTACCTTATAGCTCATATTCTTCATCCATTCATATGTGGATGGACATTTAGCTGGCCTGGTGTCTTGGCTAGTGAAAGTAAGCTGCAGTGAACATGTGATGTGTATGTGTTTTCGAGTTAGCATTTTTGTTTTCTTCAGATAAATAAATGCCCAGAGGTTAACTCCTGGGTCACATGGTAATTCTCTCTCTCTCTCTCTCTCTCTCTCTCTCTCTCTCTCTCTCTCTCTCTGTGTGTGTGTGTGTGTGTACCGAGGAGCTTCCATACTTTCCCCTAGGGGTTAGGGTTTACATTCCCTCCAACACTGCACAAGTGCTCCGATTTCTCCACGTCCTCACCAGCACTTGTGTGATGTTACTTTTTTTTTTTAAGATTGATTTATCTATGCATACAAGAACTGGGGTACAGGCCAGAGGTGTGGGGGGGTGAGAGGATTCACCAGAGACAGAGTGGGGAACAGAACAGGCGGACTGACCGAAACACATTGCTGAGGGAAGCAGCGGGCGAGCCAGGAGAGGTCTGCTGTGCCATGTGGGTACCTCCCTGGCCGTCCTGGGATCGCACTCGTGCTGCAGTGGCTGTGGATAGCCTCACAGGCTGCGTCTTAACCCCATGTGCCACCAGGGAGGCCCATGATGTTGCTTTTTAAAGTTGCAATGTTTGATGTATTGTGGCTGTTGTGTAGAAGCACAAGTGGCTACTGCATACTGCTCTTATATCTTGGCACTTTGCAAATGTCATTTCGTAGCTCAAGTACCTTTTTTGTAGCTTTTGAAATAGTTTCCTGAAGTTTTCCATGGTTCCTGATCTTTCTTTGTCCACTTGTGCTGTCGTTGTGGACCGAGGAATGTTGCCGGTTCCAATTCTAACTGTGGATGTATCTGATTTTCCTTTTTCTTCTACCAGCCTTTAGCTCTTGTGTCCTGAAAGATGCAAGCACATTCACAGTTTTGTCTTCTCGATGAGTAGACCTCCCCATATTATTAGGTAATGTCTGTCTATCTTGATCCCTTGTAATAATTCGCGCTCTGAAGGACACTCTGTGTGGTGTTAAGTAGCTTACCAGCTTTCATTAAATTCGTGTATGCTGGGCCCATCTGTTAGTTCCTTCAGGCTGCTAAAGAATCACTACAGACTGGGCAGCTTATAAACAACAGACACTTGATTCCCACACTTCTGGAGGATGGAAGTCCGAGGTCAGAGTACCAGCGTGGCCGGGTTCTGGTGAGGTCCCTCTACTTGGTCACAGATTCTGGTTGTACCCTCATATTGTAGAAAAAACTAGGGATGTCTTCTCCAGAGTCTTCTTTATAAGGTTGGTAAATGCATTCAACCTAATGACCTAGTCACCTCTCAAAGTCCCCACCTCCTATAACCACCAGTTTGGAGGTTAGGATTCAACCTGTGGATTTTGGCGGGGACACGCTCAGAACATAGAAATATCATATCCTCTCCATTGTCTTTCACCTTTTTGATTTATATTTAAAATGGGATGCTTTTTGTATAACACACAGTTGAGTTATGCTATTTTCATCTAACTTGACAAACTAGGCCCTTTACTTGATAACGTAGGCAATGTGCATTTACTGTAAAAGGAGTTTGCTTTATGTTGATCATTTGCCTATATTTTCTATCAAGTGAAATTTTTATTCAGATTTTTCTATTCCCCTCCTTTTCTATCAACTGAACGTTTGTTTTTATTCCATTTTACTCCACTAATAACATACTAGAATTTTATCTTTGAAATTTTTTCCCATATGGTGCGCCAGGATTTACAGTCTATATTACTTTTCACAATATGAATTCAAATGATTTGTACCCCCTCATGCATACCCTAGGAATCCCACAACAGTGTACCTCCCGTTTCTTTTCTTTTTTAAAAAAGATTTATTTATTTATGCATACAAGAGCTGGGGTACAGGCCAGAGGTGTGGGGGGATGAGAGGATTCACCAGAGACGGAGTGGGGAACAGAACAGGCAGACTGACTGAAATACACTGCTGAGAGGAGCAGCGGGAGAGTCAGGAGAGGTCTGCTGTACCATGTGGGTTGCTCCTGGCCAGAGGGGGATAGAACTCTTGCTCAGTGGCTGGCAATAGCATGCTAGTGCTACCTTTAACCCCTGCGCCACCAGGGAGGCCCTACCTCCCATTTCTGATCTCCCTACTTAGTACTTTCGTTGTCTTGCATTTTATTTCTACCAGTGTCATAAACCCCACAATATATTGTTACTAGACTTCAATTACCTTTCAAAAGGATTGAATATGAGGAAAAACTTTGTATTTAGCCACAATTTTACCTTTGCACCACTATCCAGCTCTTTGTGTAGATCCAGATTTTGTGCTAATATCGTTTACCTTCTGCCTGCAGAACTTCCTCTAACATATTTTGTAGGGCACATCCACTCTATGATTCTCTCACCTTTTTGTTTGTTGAGGAGTTTGCTTGAATGTTTTCATTTCACCTTAATTTTTTTTTAAGATTGATTTATTTATTTATACAAGCACTGGGTACAGTCAGAAGCGCGGGAGGGTGAGAGAATTCACCAGAGCCAGAGCAGGGAACAGAACAGGCAGACTGACCAAATACACTGCTGAGGGGGAGCAGCGGGTGTGGCAGGAGAGGTCTGTCACACCATGTGAGACCTTCGCCGGTGGCCGGGGATCAAACCGGTGCTGCAGAGGCTGCGGGCAGCTTCGCAGCCCAGCGCTCAACCACTGCGCCACCAGGGGAGGCCCTCACCTTAATTTTTAAAAGGCATGTGTGCTAAGTAAAGACTCTAGGCTGCATAGATTCTGATCAGCAAACCTTCTGCTGTTCTGTTTGTTCCTTGTATGTAATGTGTCTTTTTGACTTTTGTTTTCTGCCAGGATATCACTGTTGGTGTTTCAGTCACTCTTCCCAGTAGTTAAACTTGCTGCAGTTGTCTTATTACTGCAGTTACTTGAATGCAACATAGCCTTCCGGTTCAGGCTGCAAGTTATAGGACCAATATCCAAAAATCAATGGTATTTCTCTACACTAGCAATGAATAATCCACATGCGTAATTTAGACAATAATCACAGTTACAGTAGACTCAAAACTATAATAAACTTGGCAATTAATTTAACCAAGGATGTAAAGAAGATACACACAGTTGAACTACAAAACACAGTTCAAGTACATGAAAGCAAACTTAAACAAATGAAAAGCCACCATGTGTTCATGGACTGTGAGTCTTAATATTGTTAAGATGGCAATATCCCCAAATTGATCCATACTTTCAGTGCAGTCTTCCCCCCCCCCCCCCAGATCAGCTGGCAGTTTTTGGGAATTGAGAGAGGCCGATCGTAACATTCAACCAGAAATTCCATCTCCCAGACATGCAAGCAGAGGACTAGAGATCAACAGAGGCAGGGCCAGGTTTTAGTTCTCAGTGTGCCGGGCTCCTCACCACCATTGGGTTTGGCCGTAACCAGAGCTGTTAAGTGGCTGCAAAAACACATGCCCTCCCCCTGTTTGCCTCTCAATGCTTGATATGTGGAAAACGGAATGGGACTGGGAGAGACATAATTCGGGGGTGATTGCAAAAGTCCCTCTGGAGAAGTTTCTCCCTGCAGGAGAACCCGAGAGGTTCAGTCCTGCTGGCTGTTAGCTCTGAGACAAGCCATTCATGCCAAGGACCCCAGGGCTGCTACTTGACTGTTGCACCTCCGAGGACAGACACAGGCCAGCAGGATGCCTTTGCCCTCCAGCACCTGCATTGCCCAGGCAGACATGGTGTTGGGCAGTGGTGATTATCCAGCCATGGAACATCTGCATCTCAGCGACTGAAACACAAGCCAAGTGCGTGCAAAGACTGGCTTTGGAGTCAGGCAGCACTGGGGTATGATTCCCACATCGCCCTTCACTCCATCAGCAACCTAATCTCTTTGGACTTGTTCCTTGTCTAATGAAGGCGGAGGCTGACACTTCCCTCTCTGGCTCTTTGGGGACTAACATTGCCTGTGCCAGCACCTTAGACCATCCACAGCGAGGTTCACGAAGAGCCATGCACACTGACCTGGCTTAGGGGCACACCACTGTGAAGCCACACCAGGGCAGCTGGGAGTTGAGAGGGCCCTCTGACGGGGACTTGGGGTTGGGAGTTGGTGATGGGACCAGGGCCATGTCCCCTTTTTTCTTTCATTGTTCACGTGTCCAAGGCACACACTTGCTGTCACACTTGGGTGCGTGCTGCTCGGTGGAGTGACGGTACTAGGGTGTGATCATCACGGTGGAGCCTATCGCAGGTAGAAAAACAGTGGGTTGGTGCTCTGCAGTGGCTGTCATGGGAACAGACAGAGTTTCCGCCAGGGGTGTATAGCACCTGGTGGGCACCCCTAAGGAGGTGCACCCCTAAGGAGGCACTGCCAGATTCCCTTGAAGGATCCCCACAGTGAGCACACAGCTGATCCGTACCTCCCCGATGAACACAGGGAATATTAAACTAAACCTCTCACAAGAGGTGGACCAATTAGTGTGCTTTCTCTTGTCCTAACAGGCAACTCAGATTGTGAAGTTATCATGAAATATTAACTCATGAAAACAAAGTCCATAGAGCGCTCCAGGCATGCCAGGGCCCCTGGGAGTAATGGACTGGGTCAGAGATTCTGTCAAGTGACAGATTCTTTCCATGTTTCTACTCAGGCCTCTTCAGTGGGAGTCAGGATCAAGTAAAGTATGACCGTTTCTGCCACGATTCCGGACTCCATATTGAAACCAACAGACGGTCCTTATAAAATGAGGAGAGCTCTTCTCTTTGCTGTGCGTAATCCTATTCTAAACAAGGAGGCCTTCCCACAAAAGCTCTGCTGTCAGATTGCATTTCCAGTCAGTTCATTGTGAACCAGAAGACAATGGGGAATTTATAATGAAATTTCTATAACATTCCAATCCATAAAAATACCTCATCTGTTAACTGTGCCTTTTCATCCAGGTGCTCCTTTGGTGAAGTGGAAATTGCTCTGCCGAAGCTGACAGCTGAATCTGTCGGAATCGTGGATGTGAAGTATAGGCCAGATAGGGGGGAGCGGTATGCTTGAAGTGAGAATCAGAAAGGGGAGCACATGAGCGCACTGGCCATCTGGTGGACAGAAAGCGGTTTAGGTTGCTTGGCAGATGGCGAAGCATTGGTGCAGCCAGAGGGGGTCTGCTGAGTATGAGGCACTGGGGACAGGCAGGCCTGCTGTGCCTAGTCCAGGAGGCTGGCCTTTTGTCTTAAGAACAGCGAGTAGCTCATGCACTTCGGAGCAGGGTGTCATGACCACATTAGCATTTAAGGAAGATCCCTCGGGTACTGCAATAGAGAACTCACGGGCACGGGTCAGGATTGCTAGTCTAGTGGTTGTCAAGGAGCAAAGGGGTTGACTTGGATGATGGAACCGACTGGAGATGGAGAGAAGTGTCAAGTCGAGGCAGTAATCAAAGGATGGCTTTAAGGACCTCTGGACTACGAAGCTGGATAGAAGGTTGCCTTTGGCTGTGTTAGGCAACACCACAGCAGGTGCAGATGTGTGGGGAGCCTGTTGGATGTGCTCATCTTTGCACACATTGACTGTTCCTTGCCTGTGCACTAGGGGGAGCTCACCCAACCTCCATGCTAGGAGGCCTCTTTGTTGAAAGGAGAATGATGGTAATGATTAGGAAAAATGACTGCTTTCTTTTTCATTCATCTTGTCTAGGAGGGTGTTCATTTTATACAGCAAAGTGCTGTTTTACTGTCAGGTGCTGCCTAGGTAAAATGGGAATCTCTCTACTTAGCCATATGTCTGCTTCACTTTCCACATCAGCCTAGTAAATTTGCAGCGTACAGCATGCTTTGTGAACGCTGAAGGAAAAATAAGGAAATATAAAAACTCCAAGTCCCAAGCCTTTACTATCACACGTGTACAGGATGCTAGCCCATTTGGCTGGACTCTCAGAGAAGTAGCCTCACTTCAGACCCTGGTCTTCCTTCTATAGCCACTCACTCCTCCTGGGGCTGAGGGTGGGGCTCTTGGGACCTAGCTTCTCTAAATCTTCTCTGAAGTCATCTGCAGTGGCCTGGAGGTTGTCTAGCTCTTGCTGAGTGCAGTCTGCCTGTGGGACCATCAGTTGGTGCAGACGGTCTCTATTTGGAGATGACCTGCTCATCTCCAATAGAGCAGGTAAGTGGGTCTGGAAACCATCTGTGTGCGGCTTCACAGCCGGGAGGTGAGGAAGCCACAGATCGCTAGATCTGAATCAAGGACTTACTCCTTGTGTGACTTTGGGCTGTTTCCTTACTTAACCTCTCTATGGCTCAGTTTCCTCATTTGTGAGATGGTGATGATGATTATGTTTTTGCTTCCTTCATGTTGGCCATGGAAACTCTACCTTTTGATAACTAGAAAGTGCTGTTCAAATGTTGATGACTTCAAGGTGAAAAGGGAATTAATTGTGCTTTTACTGAAATCTGCTTGCACGGGCATGAAAGGTGCTTTGTTTGTTTTTAACACGTTGACGATGTTGAAGCTCGCCTTAGCCCTGAAAAAGGCCATGCTAGAGAAATCTCTGCAGCTTTTGTATCCTGCAAGTGGCTCACTGAGGTGGACCACCTTTTCCTCTTGGGACTTCATAAGTTTGCTGTGCACACTCTTCATCCCTCCCATAGGTCTCTGGGAAGACTCCCGGTTTTCCTGCTACCAGGGCTAACACAGAGCCTCTAACTCCTTCTCTGTTCTTTGTCTCAAAAACAGTAAGTGAACTTAAAAGTCTGCCCTCCTGAAGGTAGCCAGATGCAGATAAGCATTTTCTGTTGCGCTGACCGAGACATCCCCTAGATGCAGAAACAGCCCCGCTGCCTCAGTCTCCCCACCATAACGGCCTGCCAATTCCCTATGCACTAAAAGTCTACACCACCTGCTGGGACTCTGCTTTTCAGATGGTAGGGGGTGCGCTCCCGGTGCATTGGTCATGCTCTGTGTGACTTTGAATTCGGTCTTTGCCAGTGTGCATGTGTCGCCTGTGCAAACGCGAGTGTCGAGGAAACAAGCTCGATCACAGGCCTTTATTTCCTCTCCCGCGTGCACGGACCGGGGAAACACCCGGGCTGTTCCGCAGGAAGCCGATCTGGCACAGCGCTCCGGGTCTCCTCTGTGGCGTCATCTCCAGCGCCGGAAACGCTTCTTGAGTCCTCAGGCCGCTCTCCTCCGGCCCGTCGGTCCGCTGCCCCTGCCCCTGGGCAGGGCTCTCTGGGTGGGACAACCCGGGGTGCGGCGTCCTGCTGCCCGCAACCGGGAGCCCGCTTTTGTCCAGAGTCTGGGCATCCGCACCCTGCAGTCGAGGGAGGACAAAGGCTCCGCTCCTCTGAGCGGCCTTTCCCTGTGACGTGCGCCCCGCTCTCGGCTGGGGCGGGGGGCTCTCTAGCACGCGGGGAGGAGCGGCCTCTCGGTGGTCTTAACCCATCTATTTCCAGGGACCGCACTCCACCCCCTGGCCCGAGGGTGGGAGGCTGAGCGCTGGTAGCTTCTGGGACCCCGACCCCCAGAAGCTGGTGCGATCCAGAGAGAGCGCGTCTCCCGGAACCGGCCGGGTGGGGTTCCCTGTCGGAGCATGGAGTCCACCATGACCTGCCATGGTGTCTGAGGGAAAGACTGTTAATACTTCAGTATGGGATTGCCTTCGACCCTGTGTATGGCGTGTTTCTCCTCTAGGTGGTTTGCCGTTTGTGTGCTTGAGAATGACAGTAGTGCAACTCCCTACGCCTTTGGTAGACACCCAGCATATAATTGGGCTACAGCTATTATTCTTCAGCAGTTTGGAAACTTCACCTTTCTGCCACCTCTCTTCCCACTCCCCAAAAACATATCCACCACCTCCAAAAGCACCTGCAAAACTTTACGTTTATCCCTTAATCTCCTTGTCACTCCCACATGTGCCTACATTTGTGCCTGGGCATGTGTTAAGAATTCATAGCAGATCTAACCTCTTATCAAATCTTGTTATACTTTCCTTTACGTAATGTATTTTGACATGAAGAGTGGGATGCCTACAGTTTTGTTCTTTCAAGGTTGCCTTGGCTCTTCTGGGTCTTTTGTTCTCCAGTGTGTGTGTGTGTGTGTGTGTGTGTGTGTGTGTGTGTGTGTGCGCGCGCGTGTGTGTGCGTGTGCGTGTGCGTGTGCGCACGTTCCCCCCACCCCCCCACCCCCAGCCTGAGCACATGGTGTGTTAACTACAGGCACTGTACAAAAGACTCTAGGTGTTATTTCTCAGGTGTAACTGAGCTTTATGCTCGTTGAACAACAGTCCCGGATTTCCCCTCTAGCATAGGGAAACAGAACCACCATCCTCTTTTCTGCTTCTATAAATGCAACAGTTTGGTAACCTCCTATCAGTAGAATCATGTAGTAGCTAGTAGCTGTCCTTTTCTGCCTGACTTACTTCACTCAGCTTAGTGTCTCCCAGAGGGATCCATGCTGTCACACGTGGTAGGTTTTCCTTCCCTACTCTGAGTAATATCTCCTTGTACATGTCTTTTCCATTCTTCATGGGTTGACACTAGGGTGGTTTCCATCAGCTTGACTCTTGACTCTTGAGAATAATGCTGCTCGAAGCAGGAGTGCAGCCGTTTCCTTGACATTATGATTTCAGTTCACTGGCTATATCCCCAGGGCTGGGAAGCTGGATCATAGACTCCTTCTAACTTAAATGTTTTGAGAAACCTCTGTAGTGTTTTCCATTGTGGCCCCAGCATTTTGCATTCCCAACACAGTGCAGGAGGGTTCAGTTTCTCCAGGTCCTCACCAGCACTTGGTATATTTTGTTTGTTTGCTTTTGGTATTTGCCACCCCAGTATGTGTGAGGTGATATGTGTGAGGTGATACCTCGGTGTGGTTTTGATTTGTTTCTCCCTGATGAGTAGTGATGTTGAGCACCTTTTCATACATCTGTTGGCCATTTGTATGTGGTCTTTGGAGAAATGGCTCCTCCAATCCTTTGCCCAGTTTTAATCGACTTCTTTGTGTGCTCGCTATTGAGTTATAGAAGTTTCTCTCTCTCTTTTTTTAAATATTTATTTAAATTTATGCACACAAGAGCTGGGGTACAGGCCAGAGGTGTGGGGGTGAGAGGATTCACCAGAGACAGAGTGGTAAACACAACAGGCAGACTGACTGAAATACACTGCTGAGGGGAGCAGCGGGCGAGACAGGAGAGGTCTGCTGCACCAGGCTGGGGATCAAACTCGTGCTGCAGAGGCTGTGGATAACATCCCAGTGCTGTGCTTAATCCCTTGTGCCACCAGGGAGACTCTAGAAGTTTCTTACATATTTTGAAGGTTAATTCTTTTTTTTTTAAAGATTTATTTATTTATACGAGAACCAGGGTACAGGCCAGATGCGCGGGAGGGTGAGAGGATTCACCAGAGACAGAGCAGGGAACAAAACAGGCAGACTGACGAAGTACACTGCTGAGGGGAGCAGCAGGCGAGACAGCGGTCTGCCGTGCCATGTGGGTCCACCCCCCCCCCACCCCCCCGGCTGGCCAGGATTGAACCCGCGCTGCAGAGGCTGTGGACAGCTTCACAGTGCGGCGCTCAACCGCCTGTGCCACCAGGGAGGCCCTTGAAGGTTAATTCTTTATCATACCTGATATATGATATCAGATATCTCCTGACATTCTGTAGGTCACCTTTCTACTCAGTCCCCCCTTCACTTCCTTCTCTGCAGGAGCTTTGTGGTTTGATGGATTCCCACTATTTGTACTTTCGTTGTCTGTGCTTTTGGTGAGACTTCAAGGAAATCATTGCCAAGGCCAATATCACCAGCCTGCCCTCTGTTTTCTTCGAGGAGTTTTACAATTTCAGCTCTTATGTTTCATCTTTAATTAATTTTGCGTTGACGTGTGTGTGTGTGTAGTGGGTGAGTATGATGTAAGTTAGGCGTCCAGTTTCATCTTTGCATGTGTATATCCAGGTCTCCCGGCCCCACTTCCTCAGTACACTGTCCTCTCCCCATTATGTATTTTGGGTATTGTTGTGAAAGATAAGTGCCATGCTGATTTTTAGTTACTGTGGTTTTGGAAGAGATGAAGTATGATGCCTCCAGTTTTGCTCTTCTTTCTCAAGGTTGCCTTGACTCTCTTTGACTTTTGATCTTCCCTATGAATTTTAGAATGGACTTTGATTATTTTGCAAACCTTATTGGAAATTTGGTGAGAACAGCATGGACCTGCCATTTTCCTGCTGAGTCTTTTAAATAGGGCCTTGTGTTGATTACTCAGTTATCCTTTAAATCTGTGGATTGCATTGGTTGATTTGCCATTATGGAACCATGTTAGTGTTACTGGGCTAACACAGTTATTCAAGGTGAATTATTCTTCTAGAAGGTTACTGGATTCAAACTACTAGAATTTTGTGGAGGATTTTTTCGCTTAGGATGAAAAGGAATTTTTCTTTGCAGTTAGCTTTTCATGGTACCAGTGAAAGGCTAGCCTCATAAAATCCATTGCAGATGTTCCTTCCATTTCTGTTTTCTGGAGAAATTGTGTAGAATTTGTGATTTTTCTCTCCACATATGGTAAAATACTCTCATGGTATTATCTCAGCAGTGAGATTTCCCCCCTAGATTTTCCGTAAAAGATAATGGACTGTGCATACAAACTCCCCTGAGTGAGTTTTGGTAGTTTGTGGTTTTTGAGTAATTTGTCCCTGTCTTCTCCCCTGTTGATTTTTATGTATGTATAGATGGGTGTGACTGTATTATTTCCATACGGTCCCTTTTGTGTTTGCTGAGCCTAAGACCCACGTTTTCGTCTCATTGAGTCTCTCTCTTATTTTCTTTTCCCTGTAAGAAATTTCATTGATTTTCTGTTCTTTTAAGTAAAGTAAATCCTTAGTTATATGTTCTGGGAAGTTTGGTTTCCGTGGGCCTGAGCAGCCTTTCAGACTGGAGGAAAAGCCAGTGAGGATGAAGGTGAAGAGTCAAAAGGGCAAGTCACCTTTCTGGAAATACCCAGAAGGTGCCACTTGCCAACTTTTTAGAGTATCGGAGGGCTTGCGAGAGAGCAGGTATTAGTCACACGTTGGTTTTCTGTTTAAATTATGCTTGAGAATAAAAGTTTGTTGAACGTCGCCTGAAAATGAGCACGTTTTACTACATGCAGCATATCAAACTGACCTTACGCGTCGTGGACGCGGTAACTGACATTTTTCTGAAACCCAGATTATGTGCCACGAGCTATCCGAGCTCGAGCCGTATCACCTCACGTAACTTACAGCGCAGGCCTAGGAGACAGGCCCCATCGTTATCCCCACTCGGCACATAGGAAAGGGAGGCACAGAAAGTTAAGTAAGGTGAATGACTAACTGGATTTTCTCTGATCTCTTATCACCATCTGTTGCAGTCTGTTTTTTCATCGAACGCGTCCTTGCCACCTTGAATTTCTTGGAGAACCTCCACCTTCACCTTCTCGGCTGGACCCAAGGGTCAGCTGGCATTTCCACCACAGCCTGGGCCTCCATGGATCCAGTCGAGAAACCTAACTCAGTGTTGATTTCTGAACCTTCCCCGATGACCTCTGAGGACTCCTCACGGGACGTACCGGCAGCCTCCCATCCTTCCTTCCCAGAAATGCTGATGATGGGCCTCAGAGACCTGAACCCCGGGCCTGGCACCCCCTTCGCCGCTGCCACTCTGCCGGAGGGGCTGCTCCAGCAGCGGTACCGAGATGAGCAAGCCCTACAAGAGCGGTGGTGGGGAAAGGCAGCTTCTCCCCAGAGGAAGAAAGCCTTCCTGGGGCACCTGAGGCAGACGCACCTGGATCACGTGGCACCTTATCGGGTTGATAGGGAAGCCAGGATCTTTTCCCCAAGCCATCGAGATCAGAAAAGATTCAGATGTGAATGTCGATACTGCCAGCGACAGAGGCCGAATATTTCTGGGATGCCTGCTGACAGGAGTGGGGCCCCACACCCCTCCTCCTGGGAAACACTAGTCCAAGGCCTCAGTGGCTTGACCCTCAGCCTGGGCACCACCCGGCCCGGCCTTCTGCCGGAAGCTGCCTGCCAGCAGCAGGAGCCACAGGAGAAGCTGCAACTAGAGATGCAGCAGGAAAGCAAAAGGATGTTTCAGAGGCTCCTGAAACAGTGGTTAAAAGAAAACTGAGACTCGCAGCGTCGCGTGAGGAAGCTCTGAATGGAGTCGGACATGGATGCTGGTTTGCCGCATCCGGGTGTGGGTTTCCTAGGGGACCAAACAGTGAGCCGGAGTCAGAGGAGGCGCCAGAGCAGACCAAGGACTGGGAAGCCTGTCAGCGTGAGACTCGATCCCACGAAGGTCCTGGACTTTCCCGCCTGGAATTTCTGCATCACTCTGGTACATTCTGTGGCAAGGGACACTGTCCCAGAGGCCCTGCACCCCATCCTATGGTGCCCCATCCTATGATGCAATCCTATGGCACCCCATCCTATGGCACCCATGATGCATGCTATCACTTTGCTGCCCCGGGCCTCCCTCTCCTCCCCACCTTGTTGTCATTAGATAGAAAGTATCTCTAGCGTGATGCTTTTGTGCCGTTTCATTGACCGCCCCCACCCAGCAGGCCTCGGTCTGCTGGAAGGCACTGTGCTGGACTGACAGCCAGCTTCCAGAATCTGTAGCTGACCCAGTGTGGCAAAGGCACGCGAGGTATCCCTTGGCGGTGCATCACCTTGCGGCTGGTGAAAGCCCTGACACTCTGTCGGTAAATGCTTCCCTGCCCCTTGTCATTCTGTGCTGTTCCCCTGCAGGAGTTTCTGACAGGTTTCCTCATCATCCGTACCAAATAAATGGGCAAACTGACTTTGCAGTTCAGCTTTCTTGATCCGTGTTGGTTTACTGCTGTTAGATCTGAGATCACTACACTTAAACCCAGAGCAGGGATCAGAGTCATCCAGAGGAGCTGTAAACTGTGTGGATTTGAAATGTGGGGGGGGGGGGGAGAGGGCACCAGAGAGCAGCACCAACACGGGAGGTGACCTGGCCACGGGGCAGCCTCCAGACAAGCCAGGGAGCACAATGGAGGAGAGTCCTTCACCCGTGGAGAGTTGGAAGCAGAGATGGCTGCCCACAGCACAGGCTCCCGCGGCTGGAGCTGGTGCCTGGCAAGGGCTCCATGGCCGGGCCTGGTGCCTGCTGCTGTCACTGGCTGGAGAATGTAGCAGCAGTTTCATGCCCGCTTCATGAGACCACAGCATCATTGAGGTATGGACAGTCCCATTGGGATGTAGACATGTGCCTTTTCATTTCAGGGCGCGTTAATAATTCAATCTACTTATTCTCCCCACAGACCGTGACGATGTGTCTCCCACAAGCAGCCGTGCAAGTCTTCTTAATGGAAAAGAGGAAGTCGGCTTTCTGTCTGTCTGTGTTTGTCGGTCATCCGCGGAGCTGTGTGTCTGACGTCTACCAGTCTTCTGCAGACAGGTGTAGCTTGAGCACAGGTAGGTCTGTTCCGTTCTCAACGGGACGTCTCATCAACCCTTGGCGGCTCAACTGACCATCTCAGGCTTGTCCCCAGCTTGGGGCGTGAAGGACATAAGAAATAAAACAGGGCACTTTTTCTTGGACCCAAAGGTGTAAATTCCTGGACTTTGGGGTGTGTTTACACAAACTATCGTCGTTTGCCACTTTGTTTGCAGGGTGACAGATAATAGTCCATGTATCCGCATGTATCAGCTCACTTAACCCTGTGTCACAGAGCCATCAGGCTGCCAGATTTCCATCCCTGCTGATGAGGTGGGAAGGGAGACTAGAGAGACATCAGGGACCTTTCTGAGGACCACTCAGTCACTGGAGGGGCAGGGGCCACAAACCTGCACGGGCCGGGTCCTGGCCGCGGTCTTACCCAGGTCAGCACACCCTCACCCGCACAAAGGCTAGCTGGGAAGTGGCAAGAGACTTGACCTCCTTGGGTGGATCACATCTGGGATGGCCCAAAGTCTCTGGCTCTCTGCAATCGAGCCTTTCATCAGAGAGAGAGAGCCCGCGGGGCTAGATGGGAGACAGCTGGTCACTGACAGCCTGTCTGCTGCTTGCGTCGGAATCACCAACACATGCAAACTGTCTGAAAGTCTGTGAGCCGTGGCTGGACAGACAAGCAGGGGCACACCATACAGAAGACGACTGATGGGCACCAGGGACGAACTTCTGATTTCCAGGACAACTGGGATGGAACCCAAAGCCTTATGCTCCGTGAGAGCCCAGACACAAAAGGCCACCAACAGCCTGAGTCATGTATTGGGGTGTCCGGAAAGGGGGAGCTGAAGGACAGGACTGCAGGTAGAGGACGCCTAGACCCAGAGGTGGCACTGGCGTTTCCTGGGAACGGGGGCATGGGGGGCTGTGGGTGACAGGGATGATGTAGGCCTGGATGGTGGCCCCAGCTGCATGGGTCTGTTACTTGCTGACAGGACCTTGAACTGGGGGCATCGGCAGGTGTGTGAATGGTAACTCGATAAACTGCTGACAGAATGGAGGCCTGCGGGGGGGGGGGGGAGGTCTTCCAACAAATGAGGTCTCCCACCCTCTCGTGTTCCGGCCCTGCCCACGTGATTCCCCCCGCCCCCGGCCACCTCCTCAGCTGCAGCGGAGGCTCCTTCACTGGACTCACTGAGCACTTTGGGGCGCCAGGCCAGCTGGGGAGGGCGCCGGTCTCCCCCATGTGCGTCTGTGTTCACAGGCACGTGCCCCTGGTGACTCCGCTTCTGTGGAGGCGGCCAGCTCCGAAGACCACCCCGTGCCTCACATTCCACTTAAGTGCTTTCTCTTCTGCACAGCCTCAGTTTCCTTGGTAACCAGCCTCAGAGCTTAGCTTCAGCCCCTGGTCACAGGAAGACACGGAGAGAGAGAATGGGGGGGGTGTTCTTCCCCCCACAGCCCCCACTGTGCTCAGCCACCCTGTGGCTCAGAGCAGAGCAGTAACCATGACAACGGCACTGCAGACTCTTCTCCAACAGGCCCGGACCCTTCCCCTGCCTGCCTGCCTGCCTGCTACAGGAGGGAGCCTCTGGAAAAACACATTCTCCAGGCCTTGATTCTGCTCTGATATGGCTGTCTAATGAACCTGTCAGAAAGAGCACCCAAAACACAAGACCCATCAAAAGCTGTTAAAGGTCAGTAGAAGCAAACATGGCTGTAAGGTCCAAGGTTGCAGGAAAAACGAAGCAGATGAAGCCGCGTGTGTGCCTCAGCTGGGCCTCCTGTCTCCCCTGGAGTGTTTTCAAGAGGACAGATGCTGGGCCTTCCCCACAGAGCAGGAGGGGCCGGTCTGCGGTGGGGCCCCAGCCTGATTGTTGGGGAAGCTTATATTCCCGGCCCAGGCCAGGCAGGAGGGGCTGGTGGGTGGAGAGGAAGCCTGAGGTGGGGTCAGTGTCCTGGAGGATATTTCCCTTGGATGCGGGGTCAGTGAACACAGGAATTGCAAGACCAGGTCGTGCGCGGGGAATGCCAGAGTGGAAACCACAAGAGGTCAAGGGCTTTCCATGCCCAGGACCTGGTGTGGATAGGGTGGGGTCCTCAGGTAGCAAGGACGAGCCCTTCCCTGCGGCCCAGAGCTTCCAGGTCGGCGCGCCATGTCCCTGGCTCTGAGGTCTCCAGGCGGGGTCAGAGCTATGGGGGCTGAGAGGCGGGCAGTGTGCGTCCCGCTGGCCTGGGGTGTTCACAGGCTGCGGGTGGAGAATGCCCGGGGGTTGGCATAGGGCCCGTACGTGGTCGGTGGGGACGATGGGGTGATCGGGGACCACACCTTGCACATCAGAGATCCCTTCACCCAAGGGCAGGTCACGTAGGATCACGGGAACCGCTCTCCTGATACTGGCAGGGACACTGGCATGGACCTCACAGCGCGCAAGCGCGCAGGCCCAGATCCCGGCCGACCTAGCGCGGCCCCCGCCCCCGGCGGCCTACTGCTTCCGGTAGCGGTTGCTTTGTTTCCGAGGATGCGCCAGCGAGGCGTCCGAGCCAGGGAACTGAACCTCGGGAACCCTTAGGGTTCCATCTCTGCTTTCCACTCACCTACCGTTTTTTTCTTAGCTGTTATCTGTGCGAAAACGTGGCCACTCAGGCGAGAGTTTGTTCATGTTTCGCGTCGTGCCGTTTCTGTGGCCACTAGATGGCAGTGCGGCCACGCGCAGGTAACGTGCCGCCCCCGCCCCCGTCCTTCGTGCTTGAAAAAAACGCCGCGGAGCCCTTTGCGCCGTAACGCGCGGCTTTTTCTGCGCCTGCGCTCACTGGCCGGCCTGCTCTTCCGAGGAAGGAATTCTGGCCTTTGCCCGAATTCTTTAAGCTTGCAAATTAAAACTCTCTTCTAAGGGCCTGTGTGCCTGCTTTACCAACTTGTCTTTCTGCTTCTCTCGGTCATCTCTGTTCCTGTTTCCCCAAGCTTACTTCGCTTTTTTATACCTGTCTTTATCCTTCCATTGTTGCTGTCAAACTGACCCTACAAAACTGCAGGACTTTGAAATAGAATAAAGTCAGCTGGAAACACAGCCATTAACTGTCAGTGGCCACTGCTTTCTTTCCATTGCAGTAACAGTGCAGGAAGTATTGTAGTAGTTGCAGGTGCGCATCATGAAACGTGCCAACACTGCATAGTGATATTTTGGGATGAATTTCAGTTCAGGTTGGTTGTGTTGTTATTTTCCTCCAAGGGGGGGATTTAAATGCACTGTGATTCAATTTTGCATCCTGGCCGCAGCCTCCTTCCTTCAAAAGACCCCTCTCCATCCTCGATCAGATCATCATGTTTATATTTTCAGTCCTTTTATTAAAAATCAGCACAGACGTATGGGAAAATAGTGACCATTTCTGGAGATAAAGTTGAGTTCCGAATACGACCTAGGATGCAAAGACAACCATTGCAGTTCAGGTTTATGGGACAGCACTGTGGTGCTTGGCTGTGGCCTGCTTAGACTTGCCATCCTGAAGAGCACACGCAGCATTGAGTGGGTGCTCTGAGATTTGGTGAAACTTAAAATTTTTACTTCTGTCATCCTTTTTCTTTAGATGGAGCAATCGATCTCTTTAAGGCACAGCGTGTGAAATAATGGCTTTCTCAGTTGGCATGTTGTAGTCTGCATTTGTCTATGTATTCAGTATAAGCGTTTGTCTTAAAATATCAGATTTTCCGAGCCTCCCCGATGACACAGCGGGTTGAGCGCTGCGCTGAAGGTGTCTGCAGCCTTTGCAGCCGTGGGTTCGATTCTCAGCCAGCCAGGGAGAAACCCACATGGCTTGGCGGACCTCTCCTGCCTCGACCGCTGCTCCCCTCAGCAGTGTCTTCGCTCCGTCTGCCTGTTCTGCTCCCTGCTCTGTCTCTGGTGAATTCTCTCACCCTCCCACGCCTCTGACTGTACCCCAGTTCTTGTATAAATAAATAAATCTTTTTTTAAAAAAATCACAGATTTTCCGCCCTCAGGCAGGTCAGGGACTTGCTGAAGGCCGCTGATCTTGCTGGCGACAGGCTCAGGACAGAGCCCAGGTCTTTGCAAGTTCAAGCTCTCTGCTTCATTCCATCAGCATCTGGGTGAGGCTGAAGTGAGTCTATGTATCATGAACCGCCCTGGTAGACATGGTGCCTCTTTTGCTGTTGCCCCTTGTTTTCATCAGCTGTCATTCCCTTGGGTGTCTCCCCAGAAGGCCCCCCACACTGCAGAGCCTGGAATCTGGCAGGCCTCCTAAGGGTCTTGGGTTCAGTGGTCAAAACCCACAGCGCACCTAGCTTGCTGCATTGGATCCTTGATTTGGGGCGAGCCGTGGTGGGTGGGGAGGGCTGAAGAGGAGCACGCTAAATATGGGGCAAGGGGCCACTTTGCCTCCGGTACTGCAGCGGAGAGCTTGGTGGTTTAACGGGAACCAGCATGTGTGAAGCAAGTCTGACCTACCTGAGCGCAATGGTCTCCTCTCCCCAT